ATCATCATCATCATCATCATCATCATCATCATCATCATCTATTTTATCCACACAAAAATTGCTATAGCAGGTTACAGCTTAGGGAAAATAATAATGAAGAAAATCCACAGGGCTTTTGTCTTGGACAATGCCTGAAAAGTTGGAATATTATTAAATTGGGATATTTATCTGCAGATTACTGATGGAAGAGAAGTTTCTATTCTGTTGTTTGCCATATTCTCCCCTTCAGGTGATCACTTAAATTTAAGCTTGTTCATTTATATCAAAAACTATTCAGCATTTTTCAAAGATCAGATATATGCTGGGACAGACACGAGCTAGGGCACATTATCCACATGCAAATGGAAAAACAGCTCATTGTTTTGGAAACAGTAACAAAGTTCAAAATTTAGTGTCAACAAATGTTGTGCAATGGGGATACTGGGTGAAGAGATGACGTCTTTAAAGCTGTAAATGAAATTAATTTCAAACATTCATAAAACATTTTTTGAACTAGTGATTTGTTACTATGAATTTATAGGAAACAAATATTTTTGGTAGCCTTTCTCGCACTATTCTCATATCCTCAATAGATAAGACTGTATGACTACGTTTACTTTTAATCAAAACAAAGGCTTCTATACTTTGAATTATTTAGAGAGGCTTTTTCTCCCATTTCTTGCTAAAGCAACTCACCCTCCAGAGGGATAAGAGCTGGTAAGATAGATAAACATAGTGGTAAGTTAAATACCAACATGAAGATATTCTCATTACCTAGGCACATCTCCAAAACACAGAAATACTTGAAGGTCAAACCATTCTGCTCTTATGAAGGAAACTTTAAAGAGAGTCTAAGTGGTAACCTTTCCTGGCATTTATTGCTTGGTGTCCTCTGAAACTCCCATCTTCCTTTCCATTCATAAAAAATCCTTTAAACCCAGCAAAACTATTTTAATACACTATTTCACATTCCTACTTTAATACACAGTGTTCTACCAAATTATTATATTGTGGCGTATGTGCACTCAGTAACACACCTGGATTTAGTAACACGGTACTCACTACTGAGTTATGCAATGGGAGGAGGGAAAATCAAGCTGATTGTCACTTCTCATCAAAACAGTCTTTAGTGAAATTAAAGTGAATATTTTCCCCTATTGTCCCCAGGGAGTTAACCCAAAAGGCGTATAAGATGTGATATGCCTTGCTTCATCATTACCAGTGCAAATCTAATTGTACTTTATGCTGTGCATTGTTAGGCATCCACATCTGTGACTGTTAGTGTTCGATAACTTGGCTATTACCTGAAGTCTCCATTTTCTGTTTGGCTTTTCCTAGAGACAAAATGACAAATATGGTAAGCTACTACTCTACTGCATAGCTGTATAAACCATCTGAAAAGGAAACTCAAGCTCAAAATGCTTCCAAAGGTCTCCATTCCCTTCAGTTTTCCAAGTTGTGCAATAAAAAAAACCAAGTCCCCTAAGTGTGCAGAAGTGTTTGCAGTGGACATCAATCTGTCCACAGGACCAATTCCATAAGAAAAGCATGTAGGTCAGCTGCATGAACTACAAGCCAATTGCAATGGTTCTCATTAAGCAATTATGAAAGATTGAGCTTTTATATGTGCTTTACAAGTCACCTTTGAGGTCTGAAACTTCTGTGACTCAATAAATGTTACAAAAGCTGAGAGCAAGTTTTACTTCGTAGAATTCTTACTCCTGTAACCCCCCAAAACATCAATTATTTTATTAATTTCTGCAAATCACGTGTTGATTTTGACAACACAAACACATACCACTTTTTTAACATGATCAGGAACTCTACTACTGTGATAGCGTTGTACAGTTCAGTTTGTTTCTACTACGCAGCAGGGATTTAATTGTTTCTCTTACTGTAATCTGCAAATATGCAATGAAATTACAGCTCCGTGCATGAGAAGACTATTCAAGGAGTCGGAGAGACTCAAAAAAAAAAACAAAAACCAAACCACCCCAAAAAAACCAGACAGAGCTAAGATAAAAGCAACTTTTATTAAAATACTCTTCAAGCTTCAGAAAGCATAAATTAATGAATGTGTAGCTACTATAATACATTATTTTACAGGAGAACCATAGGGCCATGAAGCTTTTATAAACACAAGAAAGCCTATGAGCTTCACTCTGAAATAAATAAATACTACCATCTTATCTTGTTCTTGTTAGAGGATGTGTTGAAGCTCTTACAGGTACACAGCAACATTCTGCTCAATTTTTTCTGTTTTCCAAAATATGAACATGTTACTAGTTTAAGCAGCAGTATCTTTATATTGAGCTTACACTTCGATATGCAACATCAGATTTTTTTTTTTCTAATTTCTCTTTTATTTGCTTAAAAGCAGTCTGTCTTCTTGCTCTACTCCATAAAACATTTACAACCACTCTAAAACTGACCTGCTGAAAATCTAGTGAAATCCAAGATAATCATCCCGGTAAGTACAATAGCTTGAAATAAGTGCATACAGTCCCTCTTCGTCTTCTTCCCCTAGCCCCAAAATCAAATACATACAATTTCTTGGTTTTTTCTTCATAATTTTCTGCTTTCTAACAACCTACAGTAACTCAAACTCAGCAATGCAAATGACTCCTTTAAGGCAAAAAGAGAACTGCAACAGCCATCTCCTCCCCGACGCTGGGAGATTCAGTCACCCAAGTTGTTCTGTTTTAAACATATTTTTTGTCAACTAGTGATTAGCACAAAAACATTTTCATCTCATTTTTTACACATCAGTAGGAAAGTGTTAGAAAAGTATAGAAAAGGCTAGAATTTCTCTTGCAGTAAGGCTAGTTAAACATGTTTTCTTTTTTTTTTTTTTTTTTTTCTCCAAAGCAGATGGAAAAGAAGAAAGGAAGTAAGTATTTGTATTTTGCTTTTGCAACTTGGGTTAAATCACTGGACATTAAGAACACGTGCTGAGACTTCATGGTGCCAGTCACGTAATTTTGTATATTTGGGGCTAAAGACGTGGATGGGAACCTTTTCCCTGTGGAAAGAAGTGATAGAAGAAAAATAAGAGAGAGAGAAAGAAAGAAAGAAAGAAAGAATGAAAGAAAGAAAGAAAGAAAGGAAGTTTGTCTCAAGCAGTTTCGCAAGCGAGCATGCAATCTCCATGCACTATTCCTATCCACACATCGCCTTCCTCTCTGTCAAAAACCTGGATCCAGCGTTATGCAAAGCCAGTAGAAAAATACCCACTGACTGCAAGAACCATTAGATTTACCCCCTGGTTGGTTCTCACTTTGACAACGCTTATCCCAAAGCAAGGAGACAGCTGACCCTCGTTCACAGTCCAGTACGGTAATACTTTCCACCTATGCTTTGCAATCTGATCCACGCTCGCAAATGAAAAATGCCTGGTTAGATTTAGGAAAAGGAAAACACATCGACAAGCTGACCTTGTACAGAAAACCAAACCAGTCCAAGTCTACGGAAGATCTCAAAGTCCTGCACAAACATTAATAGTGGACTGCACCAACAGATTTAAAAAGGTTGGTCTATGCAGAAAAAGATCTTAATTTTTACATGCTGAAGTAGAAGGCAAAAAAAGAAGCAATGTTTTAAAAACACACAGATGTCAAACAAATGCACCAAACACTATCAGTTAAGAATTAAGACATGCAACGTATTAAAGTAATAAAAATGTAAAACATCAACTTACTTAGTTTTCTTTGCAGCTTCATGTTCTGGTTCTTTCACTGCAAGAAAAGAGAAATTTTTTTTATTTTCTAAGGCACTAAAGACACTGTACCACCATACACTGAGATTCTCTCCTGTGCCAATGCATTCACCACAGTGGGAAATTACAACAAGGCTCGTTAGGACTCCTCAATTCTAAATACACCCAAGAGAAATAAGCTATGTCTATAATAGCCCCTTTGCCAGCAGGATTGATGAAAGGTGGCTCTGCCCTTCCCCTTGGCCCACTCTCCACGTTGGCATTCAGAAAGGCCAGTTGAGAAGGGGAAGATGAATGGAAGTTGGGAGGCATTTCTTTTGGACGAACATCCAGTGAGCTTATATCAGGTGATAATCAAAACGTCTGTTTGCAGCCAGGCTGTGACCCATCAAGGTGCTAGAGGACTGCAGTTGGGATAAAGTAAATTCCCAGCCCTGATTTTAAGTTTGTCAAATCTAGTTGCAGTCGCTTTCTTACAGTATTTGTCAACATGATTAATTCATCAGTACTGGATGACATGTTATTTAATGTTCAGGTCTCATATTCTGCCCTTACAAGGATTAATGAAGAGAATCCAAAGATAGGCAATGATCCATTAATAGACCAGCACAACGCAGAACCACAAAACAATCAGGTAACTGTCCAAGTTGAGAATATTTATCACACATGGACAATAATCCTTATTTGGGGAGATGTTATAATTAGCTTCTAGAGTAATTGTGCCAGAGAATTGATAGTTGATTTAATCAAATCTGTCCCCGGGGAGGGGATCCAATTTCCTCGCTGCCTTCTTTATTGTAGCACTGGCTGTGAAAAGCAGAAGAATGAAGTAATCCCCTCTACATTAGCTGCCTCAGTCTGAACATGACTGAGCTCAAATCTCCTGATGACACTTCTGATGGCTTTTACACAACATTAGAGATCTCAGCCAATGAATTATAACTGGCAGCATAATATGAAATTGAAGTTTTACCATAAAATTATATGACTGCGAATGACTTCTCCACATCATCTGTTCCAGCCCAAAGTACATGTAATCACACCATAGCATAAGTAGAGGATGGAAACATGACCTGGGAATAAACCGAGGAACTATGGATTTATGCTTCTGATCGGTTAAATCACTGCAGATCACATACCTCTGTATCACTGTCAAAGATTTTCTACATGCCTGAAAACACCTTAATTTTTCTGGAGCATTACATCTGAACAGGAATGTCACCATTTTGGTGATACAGGAAGGAAAAGAAACAACAAATCCATATCCTGCCAATGTCTTTGGAAGCAGAAATAGAAATTTTAAGATTTATCTAGAATGTATTAATATTCAACTCGATGAGGAATAATGTCCAGTAATATATATGTGCTGAGCGATCTAGCAATTGCAGGAGTTTTACAAAAATATTTTCCTACTATAGTCTTCTCAACCTTTTTTCTTTTAAAGAGCTCACCAAACTTCTGCCTACCAGATTTATTATCCAAGAGAGAAAAATGCAAGAGATGCGACTGAATCCTTTTACTATTTCCCCCGACCCCCAGCTTTTAAAAACACCTATCTGTCCAAGACCATTACTTTTATTTCATTTACATCAAACTACTCACTGTGATCAGTGCCAGTGATTTGGGCAAGGATGCGGAAAGAGCGGGACTGGGTGGTGCCTGTCCGGGGATGCCAGTCTTCGGTGTCTTCAATCAGTCGCTTCTTGCTGGCATCGCTGTGGGTGGGTGTGTGATAAAACTCTGTATAGGTATCCACAATGTGCTTCCGCGGGGGGCTGCATCAAGGAGAGGAGAGAGTAGTGAGTGAAAAGCTTCAGAGACCACCTGGGTTGGGAGAGCTACAAAGACATGGACTTTGCACAGCATTTAAAGGCAGCTTCTGCATTTGGATGCAGATGTGCAGCCGTGAGCTCTACATAGATTCAGTTCTCTGAACCAAACACAGCTTTTTAATTATTCTAACCCAAGAGAAATATTTTTCCTTGTTTCACTGCTGGAACATTTGAAACAGTAAAAGATAGTATTATCAAGATATTTACACATTTAAACCTTTACCGTTTGGGTGGGTTTTTCCTTGGAGATGACAGAGTAAGACAGCAAGAGAAAGTTTTCCCAGCATAAACAGGAAAAGGAGAAAAAGAAAACAAGAAATAAAGTCAGGAAGTTGAAGCGGAAGTGTAGCTAATTATTCTATTGAATTAGTTTTGTGGGAAAGGGCACGGAAATCCAATTAATAATGATATTCTCATTCTACTACCAAAACTGCAGCACAGAACTCCCATACTTAAACTCACAGGGATTTCCTTACAGGGATGAGAGGGGAATTTATTTTAGTAAAGCAGGGTAATCTACTTAGTTCAGATCAGGTGCCCCTCGACAAATTCTCCCCTTGGTTCGCAAGAGGCAAAGCACTAGCTGTGTGCAAGAGCCACCCAGTACATGCCAAGTCTTTTGCACTTGGCAAAGCCTGGATCAGAACCAGGCCATTTGAAAGTGTAGGTAGGAACGTTCTGGAGCATAACGTAGAGATATCGATGCTCGATATCCTCTCTGAAAGTCAAAAAAGTGGGGTGATCATTTCATCTGGAAATTTTCCCCACAGTAACCTACATGCTATTATCAATCCCTGCACCAGCAGACTTGCAAGAATACAGGATTTTAAAGCTTTGCTTTCAGTAACTAACATAAAGAACATGCAATGGCACTGATCAGTTTAGGAAAAGGGAACAGAAGATTCATACTATATGTATTACTCCTAAATTCTGCATTTGTTATCCCAAAGCATTAATCTTTAAGACCCTTTAAATGTGCATTCATTTTTACGTAATTTATAGGAGAGTAATTGTGCAAAACTACATCCTAAAGCATAACAATTCTAATAAAAATTAAAAAAAAAAGAACCAACAAAACTTTAAAAGTTACTTTTACTTTTGCCACTACTTCCCTACTGCACTTTTAATGTCCAAAGTATTTCTGGTGAAGAAAGGTGGAAAATACGAATGAGAATGATGTAAATTATTAATTGTCAACAAGTAAGAATTAGGCTCACTCAATGGAATGCATTAGTAAATACTTAAGCTTAAAAGAATACTTAATACTTGAAAGAATTATGCAAAAGGTATCATACAAAATTATATCAAAAGATTGAATTTATTGACATACAGCATTAGTGAAGTACGTGTATCACATATCAAAGTTACTAAATGAGGGAGAGGTACAGAAACAAAGACAGTGGTATTTCCAGGATGGAGTACAAGATGTACAGAGAAAAATGAAGTAAAGCACCAAAACAGTTAATAGCAAAAATAAAATCTGAAGATTAAAGCAGTAATTAAAGGTGTAGAACTACATGGAAATATATTTACATGCAGTTGACTGCATTCTAGCAACTACCACAGTGAAATAAGTAGTCTTTCACGTTTGTTGAAAGTGGTATCATAAACAAAATAACCCACTGACTTCTCTTGTGGGTCCTACTGGTCCCTTTATTTAAGGCTTAAGAGTCTACTGGTAATGACTCCTTGAGGCAACAAGGTGGTGCCAGAGACAAAGGAAAGTCCAACGAGACAGCCTCTCCCTTAACTCAGCTTTGAGGCAAGGGGAGAAAAGACAAGCCAATAAAACCTCAATCATATTTATCATCCCTAACACGTACAAATCGCAGTATATGGATGTTACTCTTATTTTTGTTGTATGAACTCAGTATCTGGCCCTTCATTCCATAGTCTTCAAACCATTTTTTGCTTTTATACTGTATTTCACCATTCACTAGCTGTATTACTAACACCAATTAGCCATAGGTGCACCAAGAATTTATCAATATGCACAAACACCACACAAATGTTTTGTGGAATAAAAAAAAGCTGCAAAATTTAACACAGTGAAAAGCAAGATCACATCATGTCCAATGCAGACAGAACCATTTACTACGCCTAAGAAGTTACTAAGAAAAGCGGAAGCTGTTTTGCAAAATTTAAATATAAAACTCTGCAAGAGCTATAATTTTGCAAAACAAGAATACATGCTGGTTATTCCAATAGGAAAAACGACCATAATTCAACTCCAGTGCTGTCGGTACTAACTTTGTCACTGTTGTTATCTGCAAGGGAAAAAAAAAAAAAAAAAGAAAGAAGTATTTGATGTGTTAATACATTCTTTGCTTCTCGAAATATTACAGGAGTTTCCAAATCCAAGCTCTGGTAAAGCCATGTATCACGTAAGTCAAACTTACAATCACCAAGAGAACCTACAAGGGAGAAATTTAGCCCAGCTGAGCTTAAACTGAGTGAAGTCTGTGGACATCTTACCTGTCTTAAGCAGCAGGCACATTCTCATGCAAGAGGTGGCAAGAAGGTCTTGATAAAAGCGTAATTTGCACGCAGCCTAGTGAAGGCAAATTGCTTTCTTTCTAAGGCAGGACTAAATAAGGGAAACAAAACTTCCTTCCCCATCCTCAAGTGAAGCCAAATACTATATCCTGAATGTAGTTTGAGGGGAGCCAGGAGGAAGGGAGGAAATTATGATCACAACAAGGTGCATGTCTGAAGAACTGCATTTGCTCAGCAGTGCTATCTATGAACAACATAGAAGTTCTCTTTTTTTTTTTTTGAGAAAATGAATAATACAAAATGGAATTTATTTCAGACTGATCAATTATTCCAAACACCAATGTTTCTGATACTTCATAAATGTAACTGATTCCATTTTAAATGGGAAGATGGTTAAGCATCATTGTAGAAATTATTCCAAGTATGTAGAAATTTTTCTAAGTAAAACTAAGTATTGTAGCAGCAGACCAATATAATCACTTCAGGGTTTTTTGTTTGCTTGTTTCTGTTTTCTACCTTAGAACTGTAAGACAGTTAGACAGCCCAAACTCACTGTTGTAAGAGAGATGGCAAAATAAAGTAGGTTTTTACAGCTCTAAATGTTTTCAAGCTTTCCCAAACTTGATCTGCAAGGTTGGCAGAGAGACAGGGATTTCTTCACCTGTCAGCTGATACCCTTCAGTGGGTATTATTCATCCCCTAAGTGTAAGGTAGGGCACCTTACAGTGCTCACCCAGTCATCCTATCTTGATTGTCAAGGGCTTACTCAACGCCTGCAGCACTTCCTTCCAGAAGACTTAATTTTGTTGCTATTGTTCCTCTTTTTCAGTACTAATTGCTGCTTTTGAATAGTCCTTATACAGTTATTTGCTAAAACAGTATTCCTGGAAAGGTAAGAGACGGTTTGCCAAAGTGTATTCAACAAGGCTACCAGCACCGAGCAAGTCCTTGGGATCTCCCGACTTTATCCTGCTTCTATGCAGCGTGGACTCCTGCCATCAGCTGTTTAAGAAAGGACTGGAAGTTACCATGACAACGGTGTGATATAAAATGCATACGGACTGCATTATGTGAGTCCACATATGGAAAATATTCGCACTGCAATATAAAGGGAATAGGTACCTAAAGAAGTTTTTTTCCTCCATGAGCAGCTCAACTGAAACTGCAGTTTGTTCTCTGTTTTAGTTGATACGGATATTTACCTTTCTGTAGGGTTCTTCATATACTTTATATAGAGAATATCAGAGGAGAGAGGCACTAGGCCTATTCCTCCAGCCCCTTTCCTTTGAGGGATGGGAAACAGTAACCACAGTTTTTAAGTTTTAAGCACAGGTTTGACATTCCTAAGATCGAAGAAACCTACATTTCCCCTCCTGCTCTTTTTAATACTTAATTCAATCTGCCAGACGCTGCTGCTGGACATGGAGGCCAACTGGCATGGGACTGCTCACGCCCAGCCGCCTCCTCTCCCCACGGCACAGCAGCCGCTGGGAACCCGTCCCTGGGGCACTGCAGCTCCCAAGCCCTGCCCAGGAATTTCTGGGAGAGCCCGAGGCTGCCCCGGCCAAAAGCATACCACTGAAACAGGGCAGCGGTGCAGGTCCAAGTACCCAGGATTGCTGCTGTGCTCAGTTTAATTTACTAATTTATTGTTTACTAGACGAGATGCTACACCAGATATAGTATAAGCCTTTTATGCAGCCTTACAGTCCCTTAAATATTAGGCCTCTGATATCTGCTTTAACATAAACAATTATTTGAATATGAAAATGACTCAAATTTTAAATCTGTGTTGCTTTTTTAGGGTAAAGGTAACATTTAAAGTTGAGGTATTTACATTATAACGCTGCAAAAAAATCTGCTCTACCCCACCAGCTTCCTTGAACGCATCTTGACGTTACTTGTGTGTTGCGCAAAGAATTAATGCAACATCTGCCCCTTTGCCTCCCTTCTGGGTCTTTTCTCCGCCAGTCCTGCCGGGGCCACAGTTGGTCTTTCAGAGCATCTCATTCCCAGCCACTGCAGCACCACCAGCCCTTCTTGATAGCTCTGCATTTTTGAGTGCCTGCTGCTTTGAGTCACCATATTGGGAGTCAAAATACACAGTGAGACATGGACATCGAAATTAACACCGGGCTTGTTGTAAGGCCCAGAACACATTGTTAATACAACCCATTGTGTAAAGCATTTTGTGGTCCCGATTCAATTTAGCTGTGACACTCTATAAACTGGTCATTTTTCCTGAGAAAAATGATCACTGGAAGTCTGGCTTGGCCCTTCAAAGCATCCCTTTTAAGATGCGAGTCCATCCTCAGAGATCCGTTTCTGAGGATTAAACGACTCCTCCAAGCTGTGTTTTACTTAGTCCTTAAACAAGCCCAGCTTTTTTCCTGCGAGGAAAGACCCTCACAGCAAAAAAAAAATCCCACCTACCCATTTTGCTGTTTACTCTCCCCCTGGTTTTCTCTGAATCCTCGTCGCGGCCCCTCGGCTACATCCTGGGCGCCGTCGCCGGCAGAGGCGCTCGGGGCGGCATTGTGCGTGGTGGGCTGCCATGGGACATTAACTGCAGGTTTAGCAGCGCTCGGCGTGGGCGACCACTGCTCAGCGTTAGGCTTGGCGTTAACATGCAGTCCGGGCGCGGCAAACGGGGCTGGGGCGGCAGCCGTGGGGGACAGGGCTGCTGCCTGGGCCGGGGTGAAGGCGGAGGATGGTGATGGGATGGACGTGACTTTGGAGGTGGTTACTGCTCCAAACGGCCTCGGTGTCTTATTGTAAGCCACGCTCGCCATGGCAGTGACTTTGGGCGCAACAGCAGAGGCAATGGGCACAGGCTTAACTACTTCTGTAGGTTCTCCCTATGCGAGATGAAAAACAAAAAAGAAACACACAAAACCACGCCAAACGCATGCACGTTCCTCAGCAGGTATTTTCGCTGCTCTCGGGGGAGATAACCCACCTAGCATGAAACCAAGAAGCACAGAAGCAAGCTTTACTGAGACTGCAGCCGCGAAATGTAAGGGAAAAAAAACAAGCCATGCATTTTAGGAAAGGGAATGATCCAAGCATGCACAATCAATATGAAATCCCACGATGCTAACTCTTCTCATCATACCCAAAACAGACACCCCACAAATCAAATTCAAGACAAACTGAAGAACCACTCTGTTGCAAAACCTACCGGGTAACTCATGTGGAAAAAATCAGTGTTTTTTATAAAAATCCGCGTTCCACCTCTCAAACCCAATTTGAGATATGCACATTCCCTATACACAAACGGCATGTGCGTGTGTACACACACGCTGTATATACTGATCTGTTCATACGGCCCTTAAGAGCAGAACCAGAGCCCCAGAGCTCATTTATTAGAGGCCAGTGTTTCGGGACACAGTGAGCTTTTCCAGTTGCGTTCCATCAATGTGCCGCAACATCTTCATACACCCTTGTCAGATCAAAACACTCAAAAAAATGTGATTTCCCCCCCAAGCCCGGGAGATATGTTTTAACATGGTGGTTCCCAAACCATGGCCCTTCAAATCATGGTCAGTAGAACAGTAATATACTACACATTATTTATGTCCACTGGAGAGGATTTTCAAGTACAGGCCATTTGGAAGCATTTTCAGGTTTGCAAACAGCCTTCTTATCAAAAAGGGGGGTTTGAAACTATTGCTTGAGAACATAACATTAGAAGAACTCAAGAACAAATAATTCCCCAGGCCTCTAAGGAAAGTGAGGGGAACTGGTCTCTGAAACTCTAATATTTAGATAAGCTTCTTTCAAATACAAAGGAAGATTCCAGTGCCCATTAAAAACAAACAAACCAGCCAAGCCCAACCCCCTCCCCCTCAAACCCCTACTACTGTTACTCTCTTAGGGACAGAGGAAAAACTTCAGCAATATCTTTCTAAAAAGAAATGTCCTGAGAATTGGAAGATAACATTCATTCACTTTTTTTTTTTTTTTTTTTTTGTGCGTGGATAATAATTTGCCAGGTTTCTCAATGCTTCTTTTTTTGGGGGGTGTGGGGGTGCGTGGAATCACTCAGATTCAAATGCTGTAATACTCAATGTAACACATGGAAATCAAGCACGTTATATTGAAAGGAAAGTTTGAATGACAGTGCTTATCAACAACAGGGTTTGACAGATGGGTAACAGTTAGTGCCACATGCTACAGTTCTTGGCTGTGATGATGAACATACCTTTGGTACATGAATAAGATCGGGTTTTGGTACAGAAGCCACTCTGGAAGAGGAAAAACATACACATAATCAGAAAAACTATGTTCTTTAATATTTAAGCATTTCCCTCTTCCAACTCACCACGTCCACCCACAGATATATAAAATATTTCATTTTGTTTCCTCTAAAGGAAACAAGAAGCATTCAAGTTAAACCTACGACATGGTTGTAGCATTAGGAACTCTAGCATCTATCATCAAGTACTATTTGATTTATAAATTCATAATACCATACCACCAGTTAGGAGACTTCAGCTCCAATTTGCTTATTGTTTTCCATCCTTTCATAAGAAACTATGTCACATAACTCAAAAGCTCTGATCAGATAAACTGCATTTTAAGCCTGAATAAAGGTTATAAGCTGTTTAAAACAGAAAGCTTCCTTTTAGAACAACAACAAAAATCCTTCTGAAGGACTTAGCAAGTTAAATTATACAGAAACTTTTTGCACAGTCTTTGGTCTTCAAAGGTAAGGTTAATGTCACTTGAACGTCACAGCAGATGGCAAAAAAACCTTCTTCCAAACAATGGGTGCATTGAAACTACTATGGGGTGGTGGGAAGGAAAGGAAGTATCGCAATGGAAAGGATGAAGAAGATAAAGAATCGACAGATTTTGTTATACCTAAAGTGAACTGGCAACATGTTATGGGCAAAGGCATCTCACTTAATTGTTTTTTTTTCAGATTTGCATATACTTATATGCAAAAATACACACACACACAAAAAATTTAAAAAAAATAAAAAACACCAGCAAAAAATCTGACACAGTAACATTTTGTCTGCAAACATTGCTGCTGATACATTTGAGGCTTTTCATGCTGTTTCAGTAGAAAAGTGGCTTCCTGCCACATTTCAAAACATTTCTGGCCATATTTGGTAGCTGCTCAGAAAAGCTGGCACCCTTAATGACCCAAGAATCAGCAATCATATCCTGCCTGAAATCACACACCCCGATTTCCGACAAATCTTCTAAATAGGGTTTTGAAGAACTGAAGCTGGATTGTCATTTCCAAAAGACAATTTGCCTAGGAGGCAAAAAGGTTTGTTTAATTGGAGATCAGCTAACAGACGCTACAATTTAAAACACCTCTATTGTATAAACCAGTTTTTCTATTTCTACCAGAAAAACATGGAGAGCTAGATTTGAATTAGGCACTGTTGGTCCAGTTAACAACTCCTTTCTTTTTTATTTTCCTTTTTTTTTTTTTTTCCTTTTTTCCTCCTCTTTTTTCCTTCTTTCTTTTTACTAATTACGTTCAAAACGTTTACTCCTTCCCCCAAAGCCTTTTAGCCCTCAGGGCTCATCAGATTCCAGCAATAGCAATCCCACTGCAGGTTCAGTAACTAACTTACAAAAAGGGAGATGCATATAATCCACATCCTATGTTGGCAGAAGGAAAAAAGAAAAAGCGCATGAAAAGATCATCTTCTGCACCTCGCCTGTACCATTTGCGCATCGCTGCTGACACACATTACGTCCGCATCAACAGAGAGAGGGTTTTGCCTGCTCTGAGGAACAGGTCCATTCTCCCCGTTCTCACAGTGTGCAGCTTATGAGAAGGCTGACCTCCAGCCCTCCAAAGCACTGGGGTGCATCATTAATCACTCCTAATTGCAGAGTTGTCAATTTGCAGCAACAAAGGCAACAAGAAGGAAAAAAAAAAGCTAACACATACGGAAACTTTTCTTTTTTTTTTTTTTTTTTTTTAAGACCAGAGTTAGAAGGAAACATGCATCTCGCTCCGTATCTTAGGCATACATTTTTTAATAAAGTAACTTGGAACGTTTTGTGTATTTATTAACCTGACCTAACAGTAAGCAGTAGAAAGACATTCATTATTCAAGGCAACAACCATATTTCACGCTTGAGAAAAAAAACTTCTCTTTGCTAGTGCTGGACCTTGAAGTTCCCATCTCATAAAAGGAACATACTTAATTTTTTTGTTTTGTTTTTACAAAATAATCAAATTTGAGTTTGCAACGGATGAGATTGCTCTGCATTCATCAATACAGCACTGAGCAAAAATGATTTTAAACCAGTATTTCCAGATGATGTGAAAACACACTCTTCAAAATTCATCTTTAAAAATATCATACAAAAAGAAGAAAAAGAAAAAAAGGGTAAAAAAAAGGTTTGATAACCGAAACGTTCCCAACGTTGTTTTAACATTGGAGTGGGACAGCACATTGCTTTATTTTCCCCAAACATACTTGAAACAAGGACATTAATTTGTGTGCCCCAGACATACTTCAAACAGTTTAACTTGGCCTTGATGACTTCAGACCATAATCAGCCTAAAATCTGTGATTTATCCTGCATCGTATAAAGAAAATGCTCACCCAGCAAACTGAGCCACCAAGATCTGAATGTGAAAAATGCATGGTGGTTAGACAAGACAGTACAAAAGGAAATGCACACTTCAAGCTGAAAAGCAAAACACGTCCAACACATACATTTAAGAAAATACTTCTTTCAGGGCTATTTCCCTTAGGATTTGATAGATACTACCAAATTGCATAGCAAAAGAATAATTAAACTGCAGAATCTTGTACATTTCCTTAGCTGTTAGCACTTCGCTTGCCACCTAGCAATTAAACACATTAGGATTTCATGCTGGATTGGTCACGTTGAATGTATGAATAACTGTTGATAAAGGCTTTCAAAATGAGATGACACACTTGCCCTGTTACTACTTACTAGAAAAGCAGGATGGCTTGAAGTAGGATTTAAAACTAGCAGTTCAGCATATATAAGTTTATGCAATATTTTCAATAACATACAAACAAAGCAAAGACATAAAAGCTTGGTATAAATGCTTATTATAAACAACTCACACGAAAGACCTTGGCAAATGGTTACAGTTTTGAGCTTCACATGAATTATTATAGACAACAAAAATGGAAGCAGCAGCCATCACTTACTGACAGCCTAATGCTGAAAATGAAAGTGCACAAAGTTTTTGCACAGGCTTCTACATCAAAGTCGTTTATTCTTTCATAAAAAAAAAAAAGCTATATTTAGCCTGTGTAAACAGTTCTTTTCGACCAAACATGATCAAATTTGCTCTCTAAACATACCACAAGCCGTTCCTCTCCGATGAATACTTTTGTGACATTCAATGCAATTCAAAACATTCCAACTTCCAGCGCAGCCTTATTAGGGAAATGAATTAGTCTGCTCTTCGCTGTGAGCAACATGCCCAGCAAAAACCATTCATTCTTTAAATTCTCCTTTTATTCATTCCCTTTCCAAGTATTTTACCCATAAAAAAAAAAAAAAAAAAAAAAAGGACACAAGCAATACAACATAACCCTTCCATAATTACTAATATCTGGGAAAACACACTATTAAAGCTAAAGCTACAGTATTTCGTGCTTCTGCAATGAGTACAATTTGATACATCATCTCTAAAGACCGATCACGAACGAAAACATTATAATCTCAATAATTAGCGTTATGGGATTAAATTCAATGGAAAGCAGGATTTTTTGGCCAAGTCTCAGCTGTCCGGTGTGTATAACCATACAACGGCAGCTGAAGCCCTCAGCCATTAACTCCCTAAAGCTTCACTGAACCTCAAATCCAAAAGATTTTTCGGATTTGTCTCTCCTCTGAACTCCATTTCAAGTCCCACCATCCCTAGTCCTTCTCCCCCTTAGTAAAGGGACTGTATTCATAACTTAAAAAGATGCTGAGCCCAATGGAAAAAGATCACGAGAAGGTAACTGCGCTTATGAGCCCCCTCTATAAACAAGGGGAGCATGTAATACCAGTATTAATACAGGTGTTGCGTTTGGGGTTTTCGTATCTCTGTAACTTAAAGGATTGCTCAAAAACTCTGGTGTGAGATACAAGAAGAAGCTGCAAAACCTTCATTCTTGGAAGGAAGGATGGACAGAAGGATGGATGGAATTCTTCCCACCCCTCTCATTTCCAAAACTAACTCCTTTTTCCTAGCTGATCAATCAGGATACAGGTTTTGGCAGCAGATACTACATCCCTGAAAAGCCACTGGTCAGAGCTTCCTTTCAAAAACCTGATCTTTTAGTGGTTTTGCCATTGTAGTCTGCAGTTCTGTTTGTTTGCTTCACTTTATTTCTAGAGAGCAATCAGTTGATGGGCCAGAAAGCTAAATGCATTTGCTTTTCATAAATTAGACAACTCATGCAGAAAGATGACAAACGTTTAACATATATAACAAGTCATGACTTTCACTAGGGGTTATCTGAACTAAAACAAATGCAGATGTAATTTAAAGCACAGAAAAAAAGAACAATCCAAATACATTTCTTTTTTCCTTAGACCCAAGCCTTTTATCACAGACATAATTAATTTCTTACCAACCTTGCTTTGGCTTACTCCAATAGAAAAGCAAAAACATTCTTAAGCTTGCTTCTTGTTGCAACTTCTACACCATCAGAAATGGCTGCCTTATATACACTAATATAACATACAACTACGTTTCCCACAGTTTTGTAGAAACATATACACTGCCCTGTGGCAACACCAGTTGGCAAATCAGCGCTTCAACAATCTTTCCAGGACAAGCACTATGGCCTAGAGACTGCAAACCTCTGCACATGCCAGTCCATGGCAAAATAGAGGTAGCAAAATTATCACTAAGTACTACTCAATGAGAAATGGAATCTGCTGCAGTCATTGCAAAAAGAAGATGACTTTTCTTTCTCCTTAAGAAACACGGCAATGTTTTCAAATCTATACTCTGGTCATCATGCTTGCTAACATACCAACAGATGACTGGCAACAACATTTTATTTCTTAAGTCATTCTCTTTGCTCTAGTTTATTATGTTAGTTTTCATTTAGTTGAACATACCAAATTATGACAAACATGGGAATGTTAACGACAATCAAACAATGCAGACTTCAGCGTTGACCGCCTGCTTAAGAGAGCAAATGGCAACGTCAAACCAGAGAAGATAGGATGCGTAATGGCATTTCAGGTACCATGCACCTCCAGGAGTCTTAATACGAACATCTCA